ACCCATCCAACAGTTTATAAAAGTGAAAATCATATGTGAAAATATTTCTCATCTTTTTCTCATAGAGCTGCTCATGGATTTGAACTGTCAGAAAGCTTTGCTCTAACATTAGTAGCAAAACTTCATATGGTCTATGATATGATAGTTCCCTAACCTCCTAAGAGAATAGCCAGTAAATTCTTAATCAGTAAACACTGATCTGGTGGGTTAGTGGCAAGAAGCTGTGCTGCAATCCCAAAGGCATGTGGTTTGAAGCCACTAGCAAATTTACAGAAGAAGGATGGGCAGTCTCTTCCCTGGTGCTTAATTGTCTCTGAAAATGCTATGGAGGGTCAACTAAGGGTCAGTTCTGACTTCACAGTACATAACAACAACAACAAACACTACAGTAAACACAACTTTATGAGAAGGAATGTGGCATCAGGATTGCAGGAAGACTCATCAACAACCTGCTTTATTCAGATGACATAACATTGTTTCCTGAAACTGAGGAGGATCTGAAGCATTTGCTGCAGAAGGCCACAGACTGCACCCTTTAATATGGATTGAAGCTCAGCATCAGAAAAGAAAGATTCTCACCACTGGGTCAATTGGCAGCATCATGATAGACAAGGAAGAGATTGAAACTGTTAACAGCTTCAGTTTGCTTGGCTCCACAATCAACACTCTTGTTACCATCAGGCAGGAAATTAAAAGATGAATCACATTAGCAAAGTCTCCGGTCAGGGACCTCACCAGAATCCTAGGGAGCAACGATATGATTTTTAAATACTAAGGTGTGCCTTACCCAAATCATAGTCTTCATAATTACTTGTTAAGCATCAGAGAGTCAGACAATGAACAAAGGTGACTGAAGAAAAATCTATGACTTTAAGTTGTGGTGCTGGCGAAGAATATTGAATATATCATGGACAGCCATGAGAACAAACAGATCTGTCCTGAACAGGATGAAACCAAGCTGTTGCTTGGAGATAAGGATTTTGAAGCTCCATCTCACGTACTTTGGACACATGGAAAGGAGGGTCTAGTCCTTGGAGAAGGACATCATGCTTGGAAAGGTGGAGGGACATCACAAGAGAGGAAGATCGCAGATGAGGGATTAATGAAGTAATTAGGGTAATGGGAGTAGGTGTGCCATGGACTGTGAGATTGGCTCAGGATAGAGCAGGATCACTATGAGTCACAATCCAGCACCACCTCAACAATCTGCATTATACAGATGACACAACTTTGCTTGCTGAAACTGAGGATGATCTCATGCACTTACTGCAGAGGGTCAAGGACTGCAGCCTTCAGTATGGACTGAGGCTCAATGTCAAGAAAACAAAGATTCTCCCCACTGGACCAATTGGTAGCATCAGGATGGATGACGAAGAGATTGAGATTGTTCACAGCTTCAGTTTGCTCGGCTCCATGGTCAACACTCTTGGCACCAGCAGCCAGGAAATAAAAAAGCGTATCGCGATGGGAAAATCTGCTGTGAGGGACCTCTCTAAAGTACTCAAGAGCAACGGTGTCTCTTTGGAGATGAAGGTGCGCCTGATACAGGCCATGGTCTTTGCAATCACTTGCTATGCATCAGAGAGCTGGACAATAACTAGGGAGGACAGAAGGAGAATTGATGCCTTTGAGCTATGGTGCTGGAGAAGAGTATTGAATGTACCCTGGACTGTCAAGAAAACAACAAATTCAACCTAGAGAGGGTTAAACCAGGCTACTCCTTGGAGGCAAAGATTCTGGGGCTTTGCCTGACATACTTTGGACATGTTGCAAGGAGAGACAGGTCTTTGGAGAGGGACATCATGCTGGGTAGAGTAGAGGGACAGCGCAGGAGGGGAAGACCCTCTATGAGGTGGATTGGTTCAGTCACTGGGGTAATTGGGATGGTGTGTCAGAGGCAATGCAATTGGCACAGGATTGAGCAGGGTCGCTATGAGTCGCAAATGACTCGACGGCACATAACAACAACAACGTGAGTCACAAGTTACTTGACAGCACATAATAACAACAAAGCACTACAGAGATGCTCACTCACAGGATCAAGATCAAAAGTTGAGTACTGGCCCAGGGAGAAAGCGCAGAAGGCAGGTGGACATAGCATAGAGGAATGAATATAAAGAAGAATCTCAGAGAGGCTGCATTCCTTCATCTTCTGTAACAAGTCCTTCAAGTCCTCCTCAATTTCAGCAAGTAAGGTTGTGTCATCTACATAAGGCAGGTTATTGATGAGTCTCCCTCCACTTCTGCTGCCACATTCCTCTTCATAGAGTCCAGCTTCTCGGATAATTTGCTCAGCATTTAGTTTAAACAGGTATGGAAATAGAATACAACCCTGACACATTCCCTTCCCAATTCCAAACCATGTAGTGCTCCCCTGCTCCATTCACACAACAGGTATAGGTTCCTCATGAGCAGAATCAAGTGCTCTGGGACTCCTTCTCGATGTCAGCCACAATTTGTCATGATTCACACAGTCTTTGTATGTAGTCAATAAAGCACAAATAGTAGTTATAAAAGTAACACCATGTATAAAGTAACATACTCACCAAAGATATGTTTTGATGTTTACTATATATATACCTCCCATGTGATTTACTGTCTCTAAAACCCACTGGAGGGTCAGCTATAGGTTGACGCTAACTTGATGGCATGCAATTAGAGCATGTTGGCACTAACAACGAGTTAGCATCAACACATAGCTGACCCTTTAGTGGGTTTCAGAGACAGTAAATCACATGGGAGGTATATGTATAGTAAACATCAAAACATATCTTTGGTAGGTATGTTACTTTTTAATTGTTATACTTTATAACTGAATGTACAGTCTTTTGATTAAGTACCACACATTATATAAAGCCAGTTTGATCCAAAGGTCTTATTTTACTTACAAAGTAGGCTTTAGTTCTCTTTAGAAAGAGAGAAGATTCTACTACATAAAAAGAAGTAGTCTTTCATAGGATGACTCTCACTCTACACTCTCAGGTTTATGTCAGTTCATGAAGTTTTCTGGAAATGACCTTTACTTTTGAAGTGGATATTTCAGATAAAGCTTTATCTACACAATAGGAAGAGAAGAAGAAAAATACTTTGGTCTACTCTATACACCTTAAAGGTTTCAGTGCAGTTCACTGAAATCATAATGACTTTTGGGGGCTTCTGAACAGTTTACCTTGGTGTACTGAACAAGAACCTCTTTGTGTCACATTACAAATAGTAGGAACATAGTCAGGTTGCAAAAACTTAACTGATCTACTGTTAACATACTTAAAAGAGAAATGAACAAGTAAGCTATAACACACTAGTTTATGTCTTGTTAACTTAAGATAGACGACATCTGTCATATCCCAAAAGCAATTCATCATAATATGGCTCCTTTCAGCATTTGACCAGTAATATGAACATGATCCTCTTAAGGGAAATGGGTGTTTGTAGATGAATCTTCATATTATTTTGATGGATTTGTTAAATTAGGTTTTGTCTTGTAGCTGCTGGGCTATGGAGACTTCTCTCTCAACACAAGCTTCGGTGTACTCCAACACATACACATTTTAAAACTGGAATTTCACAGTAATCCTGTCAGAATTAAAGAGGAAATATGGAATATGATATTGTAAACTCCTTAAACTCATCACAGAATGGATATAAAAGGGTAGATTCTTCATACATACCATTCCTGAAATGTATTGATAATGACAACATTCCAAAATCCAGAGGCATTACTAGATTCATTCAATCCACATATTAGACAAATAATATCTGATTAGTATATTTATAGTAGGCAAATTGTTCATATGCATTATAGAGTGTGAGCTTGAGAAAAACTTTACCATTATTATCCCAGTTTTACAGGTCTAATAACAAAGCAGCCAAATGTTTGAAGAATTAGTAAAAAATTGCTATTGTTAAATAAATTATATCAGTTTTTTAAATTTATTATCTCATTATCTCTGGTGATTTAATGATGTAAGGAATTATATTGCCAATCCAAACACATGGAATTTGCATTCAAAAGCTTCTCTGTGGGAGAAAAATAAGTAATCTCTTCCTTTTGGGTTTAGATCTTTTGAAAACCTACTGGAGGGGCAGCAATGATGATCTGACTTCACTCCACATAAAACAAACAAAAAAACCAAAAAAATTTAGATAGATAGATAGATGATAGAATAGATAGAGATAGAGATAGAGATAGAGATAGAGATAGACACACAGAGAGAGAGATATGGATATATGGATATAAAAACAGGAATGGTATCCATTTCCTAAATAACATGCCTCCAGAAACCCTATGATCTCTGATAAGTGTCAATAGTTGTAGAGGGGCCTTTTGTTCATAGGGGTTGCTGTCATGCTCGACTAGAAGACAATCAACAACAACAATTACACACACACACACACATACACACACAAACATATACAACAACAAAAATATATTCACATATACACACATTTATATACATATATACTACAACAAATATATGTATGTGTGTGTGCATGTGTGTGTGTGTGTGTGTGTGTGTATGTGTGTACTGGAATTGGGCATTGTCCTGCTTTCAAGGCCTCCAAATCTTTCCATGGCCCTACTTCTGTGGGTCCCTAAATGCTCAGACTATTGTGCAAGTAGTTTGACAGACATAGGGTTAGGAGACACAGCTGAATAAAATAGTTGTAGCACCATCTGCTTGATGTAGTACACTGGAGCCTGAAAGACACAAATTTTTCCTGGATTAAAAATATAGGGTTCAAAAAGTAATTGAAGTTGTTATATGCTATTGAGTTGCCTGCAACTCATAGCAACCCCATGTACAATAGTTCTGAACTCTGTTCTATCCTGAGCCAGTCTCAATGTCTCCAACACATCTACCCCTATTACTCCAATTACCATGACAGTCTTTGTCTTCTTGATGTTGAGCTTTAACCCATATTGAAGAGCAGGCAAACTATGACTGCCATATAAAGAGAAGCGACTATTGGTCTTAATTCCAAATGTATGACTAAGTTGTTTAAGAATTAGGAGCCGACTGATTTAAGATGTTTGCTTTGTCACTGAACTTGACACCATAGAACTTATCCATGGTCATTAACTGAAAGGGTAGCAATAAAATAGAAACTTCTAATTTACAGAATTTACCATTAAAGTGTACTATAAAGAATTTTAAAAGAAATAGGATAAAGCATAGCATTCAAAATCCTATCATATTTTAGTGTCTTGATCTTTTAACAGAGGAATGTTAGGATTAGAGTCAAGAAAATTATGCTTTAAAAAAATTGAACTATCAGAATCAGGAAGCCAATATTGACATACATGCATAGAATTAGTGCTTTGGGTGCATGAATGACATTGGAGAACAAAGACTAGATTGAAAACCACCCATGAAACTTTGAACTCTCCATGGAAACATCTCATTGACCCAGATTTCAGCCCCAAGGCCCACTTAGAGAAGGAGACCATAAATAGAGCCTCACCTCACTAGCACACTGTCAGCACACTGTCTGTCATCCATATTTCCTTTTAAGGAAGGAGGTCCATATATATAAATATATATTTATATATATATTCATTATATATATTCATTTTGAATATATATACTTTTTATTTTTTTATTTTTATTTTATATTTTTATTTATATATATTCATTAGCTATGTTCTAAATGGACACATTTGTTTGGATTAGAAACTCACACTCTTGGTCAGAACCAAGAAGAACTTGGCTAAAATACTGGAGATTAAAATACACACATTTAAATAAACAGATCATTCTCTGAATTTGATAATCACAAGGTATTATGTGAATGTAAAAATGACTTAAAAGAAAAGTTATTAACAGAATGGTGGAAGAACCCAAATTAAATTTACTCATCATTAGTATGAATCTTTAATATTTGCATAGTTGGAGTGGATGCATAATTGTTAGTTTAGGAAAATAGAAAGAGTTCCATGTGGTGAAAAGAAAAAGGAAACAAAACAAAAATCTAGCCTTTGAGCTAATATACTTGACTTCATTGCTACAATTTGTGGCTTATTCCTAACTTGAGTAAGGTACATCATTTTTCTAACCACAATTTCCTTGCTAATAACATTTTAACATTGTAGTAAGAACCAAAATCGTATAGCTTGTATTAAAATTAATGATTTTGCAGTATGAATTTTGTGGTGGAATATGTCTTCTATAACTCCTACCCATCACCTCTGCAAAGGAACAGAAAATGAGACATGGGGACACAGGCCAAGAGCATCTTTCTGAAAGGGCTGGAGGGAGTGAGAATAACAAACCTCTTCAATGCCCCAGAACAGAAAGCAGATGTAGAGCCTGTAGGCCAGCCCGTGATGCCTCTAGAGCTATACTAGCACCAAGAGATTCATTTATTCATTTTTGACTCACAAACATTGCTCTCAGTAAACCAAGAGTGAGGTTTATTAGAGAAATAGCTTGGGAAATTCTTTGCCTGGGAGAGGCAAAGAATATCTCTCTATACAACTCCAGGTCTAGTCCAGCAGTCCCAAGTGAGATTAACAGTAAAGCACACTTCTCTTTCCATGATCCAGCAATCATTTCAATACCTTTAACTGTGTCTTTATCTCAGGGACCCTGTGCTTATGCCTTACCATAGTTTCTCCACAGTAATGCTACAGTCTCTCCACCATCATCACTAGGATCTTTCCATCAGGATTTTGGCCTCACCAGGTTCTCATTTTCACCAAGGTCTCACTCTCACCAGGGTCTTGCTCTCAAAGGTTCTTGCTTCAGTTCTCTCAGTCTTGCTCCTCAGTGTGGGGAACACTCACTCTCTTATCTTATTCTCACAGCTGTTAATGGTAGAAAGATCATGTATGTGCAGTTAAAGCAGCTGGAGACCAGTGGGAGCAAAGGAAATGTATTTAAAAAACTCAAATTTTGACTAACACCACAACCTCATACTCACTTCTGCTGAGTAGGAACTGGTTATAACTGAGTCTCTAGTATATTTATGAGGCTATACGCTATGAGTCATATGACTCAACAGCACTTAACAACAACCAAGAAAAAAGCAAACCTGAAAATATGTATTTCAGGTATATTAATAATTTGTTTTATTATGATTAGTAGCAGACCAGTTACAAGTGTGGAGTCAATAGTGTCCCAAATGTTTAATTTGTTGTATAATGCCAAGATTTCTGATATCAACAGTTCAGTTCCCTCACTCATCTATGTCCCTTGGGTTCAGGGGTTCACTGGGAGACTCAGACCTATCAAGGGAATGATTCACAGGACTATAGGTATGCAGGCTGGTTTGTAGAGACTGATAAGCATTGTAGATTATCACTTAGTGTAGCTGAAATCAAGCATGTTCCTTTCTCTGAAGAATCTTTTGTTCTAGCAAGAATATTTAGCATCTACATCCATAATCAAATTCCAGTCAAGGACAAGTCACCAGGTTCAAACAATCAATACTAGCTCATAGCATGAAACATCTTCATCTGCTTGGGTACTAGTCAACTCACCTCCAGCTATCAGTGGCTAAGTCCAAATGGGCAATAGTTGAGAACACAAACTTCTTCCTATATTCAAATCCAACTGGTCTTTTGTTCTTAGCCCTCACAAGGAGCCAAAGAAACTAGATGGAGCTTTTTTGACTCCCTGCTCCTCAAGCCAGCAACTATTTTAGGCTAATCCATTCATCCATCCATATTGTACATGCTAGATCAACAGTGCTGATGGAACACACTCAAGCTCAGCCTATCTCTTCGTTGTTATATATTTCCAAACATAAATTACTTCAATAAAAAGCCCAAGGTGACTCTACAGATTCATTAAAATGCATATCTATTCAGAGTACTCCATGGGTCTAATCTTCCCCCAGGCTAAGACTCAGGCGCTTAAAATCTACTGCTTCCAACATTCATTTCTCCAGTACAAATCTTCTCCATTTTGTACATCTATTCAGCATTAGCTGAAGGAGGGCTTGTATTTATTCTTCCTCTAAATACAATGTATCTCTTCATTATAACATCCAATATTTCTTTTTACAATATAGACAGGCTGAACTTTGGTATGTTCTATCAGCACTGTTGATCTAGCATGTACAGAGATAGGTCAGTTCCGACTTTGTGATAAACAACAACAAATCATATGGGAGATTGTCCTTCTTTTCCCCACATAGTAGTTGGTGTACTTGAACTGTCTGCCTTATATATGAAAAATGGAGAACTGTCCAATAGGGTTTCTAATATTGACCACTAAGCCACTAGGGCTGCTCTCAAGTTGATTCCACCTCACAGCAACTTCATACACTGAGATAGAAACATTGGCCTGTCCTGTATCATTCTCACAACCTCTGCCATGTTCAAGATCATTGTGCTAAAGTTACCGTGTCTATCCATCTTGCTCTAAGTCTTCCTTTCTTTTATTGATCAGGAATAAAGAGGATTAAGAAAGAACTCATGACTGAGTTGTGATGTTGGTGAAAGAGTATTTAATATATGATGGATCCCCAAGGAACAAACAAATCTGTCTTAGAAGATGTGCAATCATGGTGTCCTTAAAGGACAGGTGCTGAAACTTCATCACATGCACTCTGGGTAAGTTGTGAGAAGACAATAGTCATTAGAAAAAGACATTATGCTAGAAAAAGCAGAAGATGAGTGAAAGGGCAATCTCTGCCATAATCATGTCTCTTGTTGCAGTCACTGTACTACATTGTTTTATATTGGTTCTCCCCCTATTAGGTACCTCTTTAAATTTTAAACATCCTTTTGCAATATGCCTTAATATTTGATTTCCAAGAGTTTCAGAGTTGTGTTTCATTATAATGTGAGGACTAAAAATGAAGGAAATAATAATCCAAGAATACCTATCACATATTTTCTATTATATTTTGAGAAATCAATGTATTCACGGAAGAAAATAAAGTTACTAGTGAAATAGAAAAGAACACTAGTTTCAAATCATTAAATTTAAAGTGATTTAAAATCAATTTATAAGATATGCAATAATATTAACAAATGAATAAAACAATATTTATCATAATGGATTTGTATTTTTTTAAATTTTATGAATTATATGCTCTGGAGAACATAATTTTATTAAATCTAATGGTATTCAAGCATGTTTATATTGCAAGTTTATTTAAGACAATGATAGGCATAGTCCAATAATGATTAATTTTTGTAAAACTTAATGCATGGGAATGATTGCATGCAACACAATGTAAATAAGACTAGTGTGAAACACAGTGTATATGAACTGGGTAAGCAAACCAATATAAAATAAAAAATAAAAACAACAAACAATACAACAAAATCCAGCACAGATCTGCTGGCAGAGTAATTTCTAAAATAAATACCTCATTGCTAAAAAGCAAATGAACAAAAAGAGAATTATCAAAGCTAATTATGCAATTGCAAAAATATGATAATTGGTATTCAATTTCATGGATGCTAAATAATCATTGATTATGAAATATACATTCTTCCTGAACTAATAAATGTTTTAAATTATAAATTGATATTTTGTTTCTAATGAAATTAGTATTTATCTTTTAATATAATAATTTTAATAATGTCAGAGCATGAATGATTACGATTTCTTAATTATCACTTTTCACATATATTTGGAAGCAGGAGTGTCATCCCCTTCCTAAACAGCAGTTTGCCTCTGTAAATCACAAAATGAGATCCTAATAGTGTTTTTATCTAATGTTATAAGGAGAATAAACAAAGATAAGGAAGGTGAAGTCCTTACTCTAAACATAGTTAATTCCCAGTAAATGGCAGCCATTATCATTATTGCTAATTTGAACTCATACTAAAAATGTAGAATGTAATCAAACTTTTGCTTTAAAATACAATTGTCACAGTTCCGTGAGAAGAAGAAAAAGAACAGCAGCAATAGCAAAAGAAGTTTTAAAAGTATACTGATATTAATAAATTAATTCAAAAACTGGCATCATTAATTCACTGAATTTTGGGAAGCTGAACTTTCATGTGGAATCAGGATTGGAGGAAGACTTGTTAACAACCTGCATTATAAAGATGACAAAACATTGCTTGCTAAAACTGAGGAGATCATGAGGCATATGCTGCAGAAGTTCAAAGACTGTAGTA